CTCTGCCGCCAGGCCATGGGCTGCCCTACCCAGCATGCCACAGGGCCGCCGCCGCTGGGCCATGGGCTGCCCTGACACTGACCTGTGTGCAAGGGGGTGACACCCAGGCGCCCCATCCCTGACACTGACCTGTGTGCGAGCGGTTGTGGATTTTAAGGTTTTCCAGCCTGGAGAAGCTCTTGTTGCAGGTTGGGCAGCGATGAGGCTTCTCATTGGTGTGGGTGCGAATGTGGATCAGCATCTTGTACCTGCCCCAGGGAGAAGGGAACCCAGCTGGGGTGAGCCGGCCACGCAGGGTGCCACGGGGAGAGGGGGGGCCCGGCTGGGGTGAGCCGGCCCAGCAGGGCGCCACGGGGAGAGGGGGGCCCGGCTGGGGTGAGCTGGCCCGGCAGGGCGCCGCGGGGAGAGGGGGGGCCCAGCTGGGGTGAGCCGGCCTGGCAGGGTGCCACGGGCAGAGGTGGGGCCCGGCTGGGGTGAGCCGGCCCAGCAGGGTGCTGTGGGGCTGCAGCTGCCATGGGAACCCAGGGAGCTGATGGAACAGCTGTTCCCCTCTCCCCGTCACAGGACACACAAATCGCCACAGCCGCCCCCAGGGGGGCCAGGAACGGTCCCCAGCTCAGAGAGGACACGGACTTGTCCAATATCATACCCAGCAATTGGGGCAGAGCCCAGATCTGCTTCTGCCCCCCACTGAATCCCTGTCCTGCCCCATAACCACCCCACCCAGATCCCCTCATCCCTGCCCCATAACCCCATAAGTGCCCCGCACCAACCCCCCCAATCTCTGCCCTTTAACCACCCAGCCCTGATTGACCCACCCCATAACAACACAGCATGGATCCCTGTTCCATCCCGAAACCACCCAGCCCCAATCTCCCCATTCCTGCCCCGTAACCGCCCAGCCCTGATCCCCCCCCATCCTTGCCCCATAACCGGCCAGCGTGTCACTAACAGTTGTTGGTGTAACTGACACACGTGGTTCCCTGGGAAACCGCAATCTGCCTGAATCTCTTTCCTCTTCCCTCCCATCAGTCTCGGGGTCCCGAGCCGCGTCTCCCTCCCTCCCTGCAGCTCGCTGTCCCAGCCTCAGTGCCCCCAGCCCCCACCTGGCATTGAAGCCCCGGCCATGGCGCGCGCAGCCCTCCCAGTGGCAGCAGTAACCCGCGTCCTTCTCCGGCTTGACGTGGAAGTCGTTGACGTGATCCACCAGGTCTTGGAGCAGGTCGAAGAGCTGGTTACACTGCGGGGGGCAGGGTTGGGTCAGATGGTGGCTGAAGGGGGAGCCCCACTGTGTCTGGCTGGGGGGGATCACAGGGGGGCCCGGCTGGGGGAGGGGCGGCTGCAGGGGGCCCGGCTGAGGGCGGGGTGGGTGTTTTGATGCACGGCAGGAGGGATCGAGTGGGAAGTGGCTCAGGCCCCCCCAAGGACTGGCCAAGATGTACCCACCCCGCCCCGTCACTCCCTAGCCCAGACCAGCCACGGCTGTGCCCGGCCCCAGAGGCTGCGGGCGCCGGGCTGGGAAGGGTGACTGGGACAGGTGGCCCATAGAGATCCACCAATGGCCAGGAGGGGCAGTGTCCCAAAGACCTGTCCCATGGCATGCGCCACGCAGCCCCCTCTGCCCCATCCCCCTTCACCGCACAGCACGCCCCTCGCAGCCCCCTCCACCCCGTGGCACACCCCTTGAGCACGCCCCTCGCAGCCCCCTCTGACCCACCCCCCTCTGACCCTCATAGCCCCGCGGCACACCCCTCACAGCACCCTCTGCCCCACCTCCCTCCACCCAATGGCACACTGCTTGCAGCCCCCCATCCCCATCCCCCCTGCCCCGCAGCACGCCCCTCGCAGCCCCCTCTGTCCCACCCCCCTCTGACCCTCATATCCCTGTGGCACACCCCTCACAGCACCCTCTGCCCCACCTCCCTCCACCCAATGGCACACTGCTCGCAGCCCCCCATCCCCCCTGCCCCGCAGCACGCCCCTCGCACCCCCCTGCCCCACAGCACTCCCCTCGCTGCCCCCCTCCACCCCACAACACACCCCTCGCTGCCACCCTCTGCCCCGCGGCATGCCCCTCGCTGCCCCCCCCACCCCATGACACACCCCTCGCTGCCACCCTCTGCCCCACGGCATGCCCCTTGCTTCCCCCATCCGCCCCTCAGCCCCACGGCATGCCCCTCGCTGCCCCCATCTGCCCATCCCCGCAGCATGCCCCTCACTGCCCCCATCCGCCCCCCAGCCCCGCGGCATGCTCCTCGCTGCCCCCCAGCCCCACTGCATGCCCCTTGCAGCCCCCCTCTAGGACGCAGATGTCAGGGGATTTACCCTACACAGGACTGGGGCCATGGGCTTAGCCCCCTGGGGCCCGGCTGCCCTCCTCACCTTGGCCCAGCGACACACCAGCTGCTGCGGCAGAGGCAGCTCCGGAGAGAGGCGCTTCTCCTTGGCGGGGGTGAGGAAGGCCGAGGCCGGCAGGTGCAGGGCGCCGCCTGAGCCCAGGGGCAGGAAGAACTGGAAGGAGCTCGGGAGGCCGTCGATGTAGCGCAGGGACGGGAAATCCTGTGGGGGGAGAACAAAGGTGCTGGGTCAGAGACACTGGCTGGAGCAGGGAGCTCGAGGGGGGGGGCGGGGGGGCTGGGGTGGGTCAGAGACGTGCCCCACCCTGGGGATCAGGAGGGATGAAGGATGTTGCACAGCTGGATCCCAAAGCTCTGCAGTGCAATGAGCCCCCCCCTTGCACCCAACCCCCCCGTCCCAGCTGGGGCCAGCTCCCCCAAGCTCTGCCGCACCACTACCCGCATACCCCGCGTGGGCCTGGTGCCCATCCCCAGGCAGGCACAGGCCGGGTGAGCCACCCTTCCCCGCCACAGCCCTGCTGCAGCCCATCCCACTCCCTTCCCCCGCATCCCATCCCATCCCTCTCCCCCTGCCCCTCCGCCCCCCCGCCGCAGCCCATCCCTCTTCCCCCCCACTCCAGCCCTCCCTCTCCCCCTCCCTCCCCACCCCAGCCCATCCCACTCCCTTCCCCCGCCCCAGCCCATCCCTCTTCCCCCCCCACCCCAGTCCATCCCTCTCCCTCCCCCTCCCCTCCCTGGCGGGCCAGCACAGCCCAGCGGGACCCAGGGACCTAGGTCTGGGGTTGCCCTGGACAGAGGGGCAGCCACCTGGAAAAGGCTCTTCCTGCTGAGTCGAGGGAGGGAGCTGCTGCCACGGTGCCCCCAGTCCCCTTCCCAGCAGCTCCCCTGTCTGCCCCAGCCCCCGCCCTGCCATAGCGCATCACTTACATGGGGGTTGGGGGCCATGGGCAGGTCCCCGCTGCCCTGCCGCTCAGGGGACAGCGAGGTGCTGCCACCGGGGGAGTCCAGGCCGGATGGGGGCGACAGGCTGAGGTCCAGCAGGGGCGTCGAGGAGAAGCGAGCGTCCCGTTTGTCGTGGTACTTGGAGGGCAGCAGTGGACCTGGGGAGCACAAAGCCAGCGGTTGAGCAGCAAATCCCGCCCCAAGCGCCTTTCCCCACCACTGCAATGCAGCCACTTCTGGGGCAGGACGCGGTAGTGACCCCCCTCTTCCTCACTCCCTGCGCCCAACCCCACAGCTCATGGCCTGCCCCAAGGGATCCCAGCACGGCCTGGGGGACCCCAGCCGTGTGGGCCCAGCCCCAGGGGCAGGTGGCCAGCAGGGGGCAGAGCGTGACCCAAGGCTCTCTCACCACCGGTCCCACCCTGAGAAGACTGCACACAGGTGGTGCCTCCTGGTGCCGTACCAGAGGGTGCAGGAAGGCAGTCCCCCCGGGTGGGGCCCTGGACGCCCCTCCCCCTCTCACCGGCCAGCGGGGAGCCAGGCGAGCCGGGGCCCATCGCTGCGGCACCATCATCCTGGCTCTTGAGCTCGCGGTGCAAGGCCCGGTGCTTGGTGCTGCCCAGTGTCCGCTTCTCCCGCGCTGCCCGCAGCTTGGAGATGCTGATCTTGAGGTCGAGGGGCTCGTCCAGGGAGTGCATGGTGCCCGGCTTGGCCACCAGCAGCGTCCTCCGGCAGGGAGCAGACGGCGTCCTCTGGGGCCTGCTCCCCCTGCAGCCCGGGGACAGGGGCAGGGTGTCCAGGCAACCTGCAGTGGAGCAGAGGGGCAGGGGGGTGAATTGGATCGTGCCACTCTCTAGGACCCACACACGGACACCCATGCACCCCCCTGCACAGAGGCTGTCCCAGCGGCCACAGGATCGGGGCCAGGAGCTCTAAAACCTGCCACCAGGAGCCCCCCCACCCTGCTGCCAGGAGCACCCCCAAAACCTGCCACCAGGAGCCCCCCCCCATAGGTGCTGGAACTGGGGGGTGCTGCAGCACCCCACAGCTTAAAGTGGTTTCCATCATACACAGGGTTTACAGTTTGGTTCAATGGCTCTCAGCACCCCCACTATACAAATTGTTCCAGCACCCCTGCCCCAACCTGCTGCCAAGAGCCCACAAATCCTGCCACCAGGATCCCCCCCCCCAACTTGCCACCAGGAGCCCCCCAAAAACTTGTCCCCAGGCCTGCTCTTAACAGGGGGCTGGGAAATGCAAGGACAGATTCTGGAGAAGGAACAGTTCTATGTACAAAAGTAGGACACTGTGGACAGGCCTCCCCCCCACACCCCCCCAGCTCTGCTGGTGCCCTTCACTCTTGACCTGCAGCCCCCTGCTAGCCCAATCCTGGGGCCCCCTGAACCCCATTTCCGCCAGACCTGCAGAGCTGAAAGGCAGGTGCAGTAGGTGCCACGACACTGCTCCTGCCACCCATCCCGTCCAGCTCCCTCCCCTGCCCAGTGCCCCCCCCCCCCCCCGGAGGGCAGAGTCCTGGCGGCCTCTCACCACCCTGGCTGCACTGGAGAGTCCCAGCTCCTGCTCTTCCCCTGGCCTGGCTCAGAACTCAGCCCTACATTTTCCATGGAGCCCCATACCCACTCCCACTGAGCCAGATGGGGGCGGGTCCTATGATCAGTGAGGAGCCATCAGGCAGGGGCTGGGTTCAGTGACCGCCTGCCTCGCCCAGCCTGCCAGGCGGGGAGGGGAGGATGGGGCCAGAGGCAGCCGGCAGAACTGGCTGAGCTGGTCCAGAGCTGTGCTGCAGCCCCCCCAGCACAGTGACCCGTCTGGAATTACAAGCAGCTGTTTCCCCTCTGCCTGCAGCAGCCACAGCTCAGGGGGCAGCGCCAGGAGCCGCAGGGCTCTGCAGGGCGGGGCCCAGGCCAGGGTGGGGCCCAGCAGACACCAGCCCAGTCACATGCCGGCCCTTCCACTTTACACGGTTACTCAGGCCTATGCGGTGCTCACAGACACCAGGGCAAAGCCAGGCCCAGTGTAGAGGGGCTCTGGGCAAGCATCCAACCGATGCCCCTCACTCCCAACCCGCAGCCCCCTGGGGTTTTCAGGTGCTTTGAGATCCTCGGCGGGGCTGGGAGAGGCAAAGCTCTGACAGCTGGGGAAGGAGCCTGCCCTGGGCCTTGCTGCTCCTGCCGTCCAGCGGGAGATTGCAACACATCATGGAGCTTGCAAACCTGGAGCTCAGCCTGCTCTGGGGGGACAAACTCCCACAGCCTAGGGTTCTGGGCAGGGAAGGCCAGGGAGTCTGAACCAGGCCTGTACCGGCCATGTGGGGAGCCCAGAGCTGGGCTAGCAGGGGGCTACAGGCGCTTCCCCATCACCAGCAGCCCGAAGCTGCTGGAGCCAGGAGGGGATTCAGCTTGGCAGGTTTGAGGGGCAGCAGGGGGCCAGAGAGCGGGGGGGGGGGGGGGGGGGGGGGGGGTGCGGGGGGGGGGGTGGGCAGACCCAGACATGGGGGGCACCGTCCCCAACACGAGGCTCCCATACATGAGAGGTGCCCAATTCACAGCCAGCCTCACTCTGCCCCTTGCCTGCCAGCCCCAGCCCGCGCCAGAGCCAGCCCAGAGCCACTCAGCTCAGGCCAGGCTGGCCCTGCTGGGCACCATGAGGTTTGCGCCGAGCCTAGGCGCCCCAAGGCCTGGCTGGGGTCCGGCAGCCAGTGCCCGAGGGCCCTGCGCCCCTTCCTACTTGGCAGCTTTGGATCAGCCCAGAGCCCAGCCAGCAGACCGTGCCCCTCCCCCGATCCTCGACAGCCCCCAAAGGGCTGCTGGGCTCTCCCTGCTCCTGGCTGGGGGCAGCCCCGCTGGGGTGGGCAGGGAGGGGCACCCCGCCCACCCCCCTCCAGCCGGCCTGTGGCCCCCTGTCTGGCTGCGCCGGGCACAGGGAAGGGGGAGGAAGGAAGTAAATATTTATCTTCGGCAGTTCAGAGCCTGGGAAGGCTCCAGCTGCATTCACGGCCTCCCTCCTTGGACTGCCCTGCCCTGCCCGGGGCCTCTCCCTGGGGCAGGGGAGGGGACCTGGTGGGCTGCCAGCTGTCTGCTAGCTGGTTCCTTGTGAGCCCGGCCAGGCGGGCCCTGCACTGCCATCCTGGGGTCCTCCGTGGACGCCAGGCCTGGCTCATTTCCTGCTTGCTTCCTGCTGTGGCATCATGCCCTGGCCCGCCCACGCACATCCCACCCCCGCCCTGTGACTCAGTTTCCCCACCTGGCCATGGGGACAGTGATGAGGAGGTGGCAGTGCTTGGAGAGCCCCCAGCACCCCACACAGCCTGATCCCAGAGGTGCCTGTGCTGCAGTGAGACCCCAGGCAGCTCCGCGGCTGGCCCTGCCCAGGCGGGGGCTGTGCAGGAAGGGGCTCTGCTGAGCGCCTCAGGCCGGCTCAAGCAGGGGCCCAGGCACTTTTCCTTGGCAGGGGAGGGGCATCATCCATCTGCCACCCACCACCTGTGAGAACAGGGGCATCACGGACAGGTGCCCGCCGCCCAGCCCAGGGGCTTCTCGTCCTGCCACTGTCCCGGCTTCTGCCAACGCCAGCAGATCCAAGAGCGAGATGCCCAGCCCCACCCCCTTCACCTCCCTCCACGTGGGATGCGCTCGGCCCTGCAGACCCCTTTCTGGGAGTGAGCAGCCCCACACCCTGCACTGCCTGCAGCAGGACAGCAGGGAATGTGCCACAGGCCCCCCCAGCCCCACAGTGCCCACACCCGTCCCCCCCGCCCCATGGTACCCACACCCGGTCCTGCCCCAACCCCACGGTGCCCACAGCCAGCTCCCCCGGCTCTGCAGCACACGCTGCCTCTTCAGCTGCCTCAGTTCATCCCTGCTGCACCCACTGGGCCAGCCCTGCAGCGTCCCTCCACAGCCATCCAGCCCCCCATCGCACACACACCCCAGCAGGCGCGCTCACCCCCTTCCAGCAGGGACTGGACAATGCAGGGGGCTGTGTACACACCAGGCCTGCTACGCCCCCCCGCCCCCAGCTCTGCCAGTGCCCCTCAATCCCAACCCACACCCCCTGCTGTCTCAGCCCTGGCACCTCCCCCCCCGGCCCTGCCCCCTTCCCCCTCCCCCTGTGCAGAGCAAGGTGCCCACACTGGCTTTGGAGAAGGATCTGTTTTGCAGCTGGCTGAGAACAAGGTGCTTGTCTCAGCTGTGATCTCAGCCAGCTCCTCCTAGAGCCCAGGGCTCACTAGCACCCTCCCTTGGGAGCCCCCTACCACTGCCTCCTCACCGCGACCCACGTCAGGCCCGGACTGCCAGGCCCTGAGCCAGGCATGGGGTGGGGGCCACAGAGCCAGCCTGGGGTCAAGCTGGGATATCAGTGCTCGGGTTGGGCAGAGGGTGGCGCAGCGCAGGGCAGGGACACTGGCTGGGCGCGGCAGAGAGGCAGCGGGGAGGAGGGGCAGGCGCGATGTCCCCAGCTTCCAGCCCATCCATCCCTGCACTCAGCACAGCCTGGCTCAGGCCCACATGGCCTGGTCGCTCCCCCCTACGGGGCCCCCTGGACCACAGGGGCTTCAGTCTCGGGTCCAAGACATTCCCGCACCAGGCTTAACCTCTGCAGCCTCCTCCCCACCGCAGGGCTGGAGGGACGGGCCAGTGATGGCATCAGAGCACTCCCATTCCAGGGGACAGACATCCTGGGACTGCCCCCACGACCACCACCAGGCCCCTCCAGCCCAGAGCACAGCCAGCTTCGGGCCTCTGGCACTGACATCTGGGAGGGCTCCATCCCCCACCCCGGCACCGACACCCCAGGGGGTTCCATCCCCCAGCACTGACACCCCAGGGGGTTCCATCCTGCACCCCCAGGGACCCCAAGGGCAGAAATATCCTAGGGCATCCCCCGCTTTCTACAGGTTCAAGCAATTCCCCCCCCCCCCCCCCCACACACACAGGCCCTGTGCTGTTCCTTCAAGCCAGGCTCTGTCTCAGTGGGCACTGCCCCCCGGGGGCGGTTGCTGGCCTGGGTTCTGTGCCAAGCCCTGCCAGCATGGCACTGGGGGGCACTCCCAGCAGTGCCCCCCGGCAGTGGGCCAGGTTCGTTTTCGTTCTGCTCCTGACCCTCTGACGGGCCCCGCGCCAGCCCCTCACCCCGCCTGCGTCTGCAGCTGCAGCCCAGCGCCTGGCGCATGAATGGGGGGCTCTTTCCTCTCCAGCGAGCCCGAGGCTGGCAAGCAGGAAGCAGAGACTTCCGCGGAGCCGAGGCCAGCCCTTGCTCCCCCCTGCACGTCCTCTCCCCCCGCCAGCCTCCTCCTCCCCCGCCCGGGCCAGAGCCCCTGCCAGCCGTGCCCGTGTGGCACCTGTTCCCTGGCTCTGCCTGGCTCGAGCAGGCCTGTCCCTGCCCCCACGCCCAGGTGCCCCCCCCCATGCTGGCACCGGGCCAGGCCAGGCTCAGACGCTCTGGAATGCAAAGCGCCTCCCAGCCCTGCGTGGGGGGCGAGGACCGGCCGGGGGCGGGGGCTGAGCGCCAGGCTGAGCAGGGGCGGCAAGGGGGAGACACAGCCCCACCCCGGACTCCTGTCTTCCAGCTGGGGCAATGCAGCCTGTGCCCATGGGGCCAGGGCTGTTGCGTGGGGTGTGGGGCAGGGCTGGGGGCAGCTCGCTGGGCTGGCAACAGGCAGGGTGAACTCACAGAGAAGGCAGGACTCCTGAGCGATGCGTCAGTGGGTCAGGCCAAGCCCAGTGGCACCGACTGGCCCCGCACTGGCAAGCTCAGCAGGGCCATGGAGCCTGGCCCAGCCTCTCCTCCCAGGTCCTTCCAGCTCCCGCAGAGATGCTGGGCAGGGCGGGGGAGCCAG